CACCGTATTGTCTATCAGATCCGGTCCGAACGAATCTTACCGTAGACATGTACATACCATAAAACAACTAACAGCTGAGTTTTTCGTTTTAAAAACAGTTTTGGGCAAACAAAAGCATAGAGTTCTTCCTAACCGTTACCTTCGGAAACGCGAGGGTATTTAGGCGATTTTTCGTACAACGAACAACACAGTCGGACAGTTGAACGTTGAAGCTTGCACGGTTCGGATCGAGAGTCGAAAAAGTCAATTGTGAGTTCGAAAGTTCCGCATAACGCAACGTAGCATAACCAATGCAGGGTGGTTCGGAAATCATTCACAACACCATTCGAGCGAGACCCTGCACTCCTCGAACGGGCCACGGTAGGGTGGTTAACGTACATACACTGTACACTGTTCGGGCGAGCCCTACACCCTCGAACAGGCCACGGTAGGGTGGTTAAACGTACACATCAACATGATCCGAGAAGTCCTATACTCCTCGAATCGATCATTGTGAATAATCTCACGCAACGTGAATTATCACGCAAATCGAACAATACTGAGCGAGACCCTGTTCTCCTCAAATCAAACAACCATTGAGCGAGACCCTGTTCTCCTCAAATCGAACAACGTTGAACGAGACCCTGATGAGACCTTGTTCTCTTCAATCCATATGCAATCAACACAACGTACACATACTCGTACACATTTTCACCGTAGAATCGTTAACGAATACATAATTTTGTAAGGGGTTTTTTATGCCACAAGGCTTTTTCCCCTAATTCGAATCGCTAGAGCCAATAAACTATCAAGGTTTTTCAGACTCAATTGTGTCTAAACAATTTTTATTTACCCTCTTCCTTAATCGAATTCATTTATTCTTTGAAATACGAAATTTCTCCATATTGGAAAGATATCGACGACACATAGTTGCTCTCCGACGATTTTTGATTGTATCCTTATTTTCCGGAGACACAGTACGGAGTGTGTTATCTGCATCCTACTGCCCGCCGATATCCCCTGTATTTCCCGGTCCTGTCGTCGTAGCTACGCTACGAAACGGGGACATCCCGACCGCCAAGGAAACACTCGTGTGTTATCTGCAGGGTGTCCTTGGGTTCACGGTCTCCCGCCAGGGAAGGACGGCGTGTGTTATCTGCAGCCGGTCCGACCTCTCATCGGCTACCTCTCATCGGTAAAGCGTGAACTCCGCTCCCCGATTTCCCGTCTCCCCTCCCCAAATATTGTAAGCGAGCGAACCCGGACACAGCCGACTGTGCGACTCCCGGCGAGCGCGGGCTCACCGCGAGCCCACCGGTGTTACAACTTCACTATTTATAAATAATTTATTAGTTAATTTGAGGTGAAGAGTGAATAAATTGTAGTCCGATTAACAATAACGATAACATTATTGATTGAAATGCGCGTGGTGTTCGATGATCGAAGAGTGACCGTACGAGTCGAAGTCGGTAATAAGAATGACCTTTTTCGTTGCCTCTTGAGCCTACCCCCGCAAGCACGGGGAAAAACTCAAGAGGAGAAATCCCGTAAACAAACGACGACAGAACATCATCTGGTCGGCGAAAATTTTATTGTCTCTGGTACCTGGACATTTCATAGGCCGGAAACGTCGACTTTGTAGCGGCGAAAAAATCAACGCTGCACGCTACAAATTATTAATTATTATTATTATTATTATTATTATTAATCTCATTCACTTAATTAATTAATCAATTAATTAATTAAGTGAATGAGATTAATTAATTAATTAATTAATTAATTAATTAATTACTTCCTTCACTTCGTTCCGTGTCGTCTCGCCTCTTCCTCTTCTCCTCCTCCCTGTCTTCTTGCTTCAACCTATGCGCCCAGCGGGTTCATATCTGATGACATGGGGGCCACGCGACAGGGCCGCCACTTCCAACCCACCTGTCCTGAAAGGTGTGATCTATGTTTCACAGTACAATTTTAAAAGTCGCGTTCCTTACAATAGCTTCAGAAAACTTTAAATTTATGACTTTGTTTTTCACGTAGGCAGCTAGCAATTTGCACATGGAATTAACATTTGGCCTGCACGTTGCTAGCGCGTTCATAGCATGCAAGTACCAGAGCTGTTTTTGAGAGTCTTTTTGTATTTTTTAAATTTACGATTCCTATGTCCAAGTTCTTTCGACGGTCTCAACAGCTAATTGCCAATGCCATAAACGTGAATTTCCTGAGGGTTCGAGGACAGGGCCTAGGAGACATAAACCAGGTCCCCTTGTTGACAACCCAACGGAAATTCTGTCTTACGTTCACTTTCTCTTTCCACCTCCACAAGGCCCACCGTACTCCGCACGAATCGCACTAAGGGCGCACGGGGTAGGGTGACGTCTTTTTTTAACACTAGATTGCCGGAGCGAGTCAATTTGACTCATTTGCACTTTTACTGTGATATACATAACAATTTTAAGTCATTTTTTTTAAATCATTTTTTGGTTTTTCATAGAACAATGAAAGGTATACAAAAAGTAATTCCTATTCCTCCCTACTTCCTTACTTCCAATAATTCATATGTGCTATACCTATTTTGCCGGATACGAGTCAAATTGACTCACCGTTTTAGACACACGTAACTTATTTCCTTTGCATAAAATTCTTTTGTAAACGTTCTGGTGGGAGAGTTTTCATGTTATAATTTGTTCATTCAATGCTGTAAAATTATTTGTTGCAAACTATCCTGTTGAAGTCTTTCATTTTGACTTATGGCACCGGAGAAAGTTGTGTGTAAACTGACTGAGCCATATTTAGGTTGTGGACGAAATATTACGACAGATAATTTCTTCACAAGCCTATCACTTGCAAAAAAGTTACGCGCCAACAAAACTTCTTTGGTCGGAACAATACGATCAAATAGAAAAGAATTGCCCCAAATTGCAAAAGCGAAAAAGGACAAAATGACACGCTACTCTACAAAACTTTATAAAACGGAGGCCTGTACACTAACCATGTATAAAAGTAAAGCCAATAAAAAAGTTTTATTATTCAGCTCAAAACATCGCAATGTAGGAATTGCAAAAAATGAAAAACGTGTCCTAGAAACTATATCCTTTTATAATAATACTAAGTATGGAGTCGATATACTGGATCAAATAGCGCGAAAATATAGTACCAAAGCAGGTTCCCGCAGATGGCCCGTTCACGTGTTCTACAACATTCTAGATTTGGCAGCAATCAATGCTTGGGTCATATATAAAGATGTGATTCAAGTACAAATATCAAGAAAAGAATTTCTTTTGCAACTGGCGGAAGAATTAAGCGGCAATTACGATAATGAAGCCAAAAGTACTTCGACTTTATCTAATATACAAAATATTGAAAACCGTGCAAATTGCCAGGTACAAGTGTCATGCAACAGAAACAGAAGCAAGGGCGTTTGTAGCAAATGTAATAAAAAAATATGCGGAAAGTGTATTTTAAAAACTAAATATGTATGCAAAAAGTGTTTGGAATAAAGTTTATTTGTAATAAAATTTTATTACTTTAAAAAACCTGCATTTTTGACGATTGAGTCAGATTGACTCAATCAGGCAAAATAGGTATACAACCAACCTCCGGCAATCTAGTGTTAAGCAACACTATTGGCAATCAGTACAACCAATCAGAACAGTTTCCACATCTTCTAGCTTTTCTTAGTTTTCCTCCTTAAAATCAAACCTTGCACGAGCACTCTCGACAAACCAATTGAACGACAAAGATTTCTCTTCAAAAATCTTCTACATACAGTTCTCTTAAAGAAACGTTCTAATTCTTTATAGTAAAACAGTCTGATATTTTGTTCCATAGAGAAACATCATACTCCTTCGTACACATAAACACTTCACCTTTGTAATAAGAATATTGAAATTGGTTAAGTTTTTCATCAAAATTAAATAGTTTATTTTGTTAACTTAAATTCAAGTTAAATTCTCTATTACCTGTTCAACACCCAATATTGTCCTTACCTCAGTAAAACGACGTAAGGGTGTACGCGACCGCACTGGTGTAATAATCAGGCAAGGATTTACAACCCTTGTCGACTTCGGTTTAGTAAATCGGTTAGTCGCAGTGTGCCGCGTATTTTGTAAAAAACAATCTAGGCAAGCCTGAACACTTGCGGCATAATGGGCTGTAGCACCATCATGTTGGAGAAACATGTTCTGTCGAATTTCTTCCAAAAGAGTCGGTAGAACATGTGTAACGTCCCTGGAGAGGTTTTTCTTTAGAATTTTCTTTGACGCCGCAACAATCTAATACCCACCGTTAGAATAGCTAATTATCGACAGTGATCGCCAAATTACCGATAATAGGTTACGTATCGACTATCGATCCTATCCGACTCGACGATCGATAATCAATATAATATATATATTTTATCATTTATATTAATTATCTTATAATTTTGATTTAGAGTAGGTAATATTTTCTATAAAAGAATTGAATATTGATATGGAATAATTAAAACAAAGATAATATGTTATTTTATTACATTTTTCTAATAAATAGTTTGTATAAGAATTTCCGTTACGCTATAATGTGTTTATGTGCCGCGATACTCGCCGAAATCCTTGAGACCAGCGTTGATCCAAGAAAAGGACAGAGATACTATTC